GTACATAGTAATATTAGCGCATGATATATTAGCGTTAGCGTTCAAGATTATGTTAAAGTTCGGAGCGTTCCGTACTAAATGAGGAGTGCAGCGCCTGTCTCTTATACACATCTAGATGTGTATAAGAGACCCTCACCCCACTACCCCTCACCCCACTTCTCTTCACCCCACTACCCCTCACCCCACTACCCACACCCCTCACCTCGGGCGCTATGTAGTCCGGGGTGCCGCAGAAGGTGGTGGTGGTGCACCCCTCACCCCTGATGTTCTCCTTGCACATCCCGAAGTCGGCGATCTTACAGTGGCCCTCAGCGTCCAGCAGGATGTTGTCCAGCTTGAGGTCCCTGCAACACAGAATAGCTTGAGGTCCCTGCAACACAATAGCGTCAGGTCCCTGCAACACACGGTGCTGCAAGCACCACCTTGACGGCTACCAAGCGCCGCCCACCAGCGAGCAGAAACGAACTGAGGTTTCTGAGGCTCGAACCCGCGACTCACAGTCCCTATCCCTGCCGCGGCTGCTTGACCTACTGACCCGCCTCTTGATCCGCGGCCCCGTCTCTTTACCGGGCCTCACCATCCACCCAGGACACGATCTGGGCCCCTCACACAGCACCTGGTCCCCAACTCGCACAGAGGCGAGGAAACTATGAAGGGCAGCCTGTCCGCGGAGGCCTCACATAGATCCACACCACATCACATTAATCCCTAAGGGCTTCAAGGACTTCATACACTCCACGGACCTGACTCGCGGTTGCTCATTGAACAACGGGATGCGATCAGGAATCGAGACCTCCGACTCGTCAGTCAGGACATTGATGTACCATGTGCTACCGATGGTGTACCCATCTGTCCATCCCCCAGCCTCACCAGTCCACCCCCTCACCCCAGCCTCATCAGCCCACCCATCCACCACATGCCCACCTATACGTACCCATCTGTCCATCCCCCCAGCCTCACCAGTCCACCCCCTCACCCCAGCCTCATCAGCCCACCCATCCACCACATGCCCACCTATACGTACCCATCTGTCCATCCCCCCAGCCTCACCAGTCCACCCCCTCACCCCAGCCTCATCAGCCCACCCATCCACCACATGCCCACCTGTACGTACCCATTTGTCCATCCCCCGCCTCACCAGCCCACATCCTCTCCCCAGCCTCATCAGCCCACCCATCCATCACATGCCCACAAATCCACCACATGCCCACCTGTACGTNAGGTCTGACAGTACCTGGGTCTGGCAGAGTCTGGCAGTACCTGGGTCTGGTAGTACCAGGCAGTACCTGGGTCTGGCAGTACCTGGGTCTGGAAGGCGCAGTACAGCACCGTAGGTCTGGCAGTACCTGGGTCTGGCAGAGGTCTGGCAGTACCTGGGTCTGGAAGGCGCAGTAGAGCGCCGTCAGGAAGGGGTGTCGTGCTGCCAGAGCCAGGACGCGCCGCTCTGTCATGGTGCACTCCACGTCGTCGTCCTGCAGGATCACGTCCTTCTTCAGCACCTGTGGGGGGAGGGAGGTTAGGGGGCGTGGAGGAGCGTAAGGAACGTTTGGATCAGGAACAAAAAAAAAAAACGTCGGGATCGTGAACGTTTAGATCATTGAAGGATCGTAAGGAACGTTTGAGGACCTGTGGGGAGGGGGGAGGGTGGTTACTAGGAGGCGTATCTGAGCGTAAGGAACGTAGCACCGAGAACTAATTAGGAGGCTCGAGCTCTACGGCTAAATAAAAGGTAATTATCTCATTAAAACTTCGATATAAGTAAAGTTTCAGTTATGATCAACCGCTGGTGGTTCATCGACTGCCTTCAGTTCATCACAACTTTGTGTTCATCAAAACTTCATCATAACTTTTTCATGATTCCAGATACCGGGGCTAAAACGTTGTTTACATTCCAGCAAAAATCAACGTTCAAAGAAGCGCATTAATGTAAACGCTATAGACAAATTAATGCATTATTGTGGCAGGACACTGACTTGCTGACTCACAGCCACCCAGGATCATAAGGCACTGCTGGTCTTCTTATGGGTCATAATGACCCACTTTGACGGCGAATAAGAGACGTGATGGCACTAAGAGTGGGTCATGCAGTACACTGGAGTACTGCAGCCAGCTTTGGACACCACTTTGGAGTACTGCAGCCAGCTTTGGACACCACCGATGACCCACCTTGACGGCGTAGACTTCATCGGTGCCCTTCTTCTCAGCGAGGAGAACCTTCCCGAAGCTGCCCTTCCCCAGGACCTTGAGGAAGACGAAGTCCTGCAGCCCCACGCGCTCCCCCTCGCAGGGGGGAGAGAGCGGCTGTCGCTCTGGGGGGAGAGGGGGGAGTAAATTTTGGGGAAGGAAAACGGCCTCATTAGGGGTAAATATTAATTAGTATTTCAGTTAATTAGTGATTAACGATGAATGGAGCGGATTTGGTGGTCATTCCGAACGAGAGAAGCAGCGACACTCATTATATTCTCCAGAGCCACGAGCTACAAATGCTGGAGTACTGCTGCCAGCTTTGGACCCCACTCATCACCACATCACTCCTCACTCACCAGGCCCCCTCATCACCCCCCACTCACCAGGCCCTCCCATCACCCCCCACCCCACTCACCAGGCCCCCTC